GGGGGGGGGGGGGGGGGATATTTTAAAGGGTTTAGGGTCTAGGGTCTAGGGTTTAGGGTTTAGGGTTTAGGGTTTGGGGTTTAGGGTTTAGGGTTTAGGGTTTAGAGTTTAGGGTTTAGGGTTTAGGGTTTGTTGGGGGGGGTCTTTAATACGGGTTGCTGCAAAGGTGACATTAGAAGGGTTTGTTTGATGGGCTTTGTTACCAAGGTTTTGCAAAGGTGTAGAAACGTTGTAGAGATTTGTCTCTGGCATTCCTTAGATTTTCTAGGGCTTCGTCGCCAAGAGGGCTTATGAAAGGTTGCTTAAAAGGGCTCCTAAATATTAAAAAGTCCTCGGCCAAGTCATGGCTGGCAGCGCCGCTGGCACCAGAGCTACTGCTGGTGGTGCTGGGGCTTGCAGCGGCGATGCGCCGGGAACCCACACGTACCGGCTCCTGGGGTGCAGTACTTACGGTTTCGGATTCAGAATTGAAGGGTTGAGGTCTTGGGGGACGTAGGGCCTAGGGCCTAGGGCTTCATGGTTTAAGGATTTTTTGGCTCAGGATATGGGCAGTTCTGAAACAAGCACCCGAAAAATAGAGGCCTACCCGCTTAGGGTTTTCGGGGCTCCTGGATGGGCACTGGCAGGCCCAACCAGCCCTGCAAGACACCCTCTGGGAAGCGCTGCTGCCATCCCCGAGCAGGGCGGAGGTATCCTTCCCTGCACACCACGTTCACGATGCGAGAGGGGCTTCCGGCCTGAAGACTAAGCGTCTTGGGGAAAAGTTAGACATACTAGTTTGGAGAAAGAAGCACTCAACATTTTGGCGAAAGAAGCCACAAAAAAAAAAGACATTATGCTCAGGGCTTCCAGCCTGGAGCGCGGGGAGGAGAAGGTTCGTCAGCAGAAAGGGGCTAAGGTAGTTCACCTGGAAGGATGCCTCGATACCATCATCCGTCAACCTGCAACCTTGACTGGTGCCGGCGTTGTTGATCAGCAGGTGCAAGGTTCCCACGGAGTCTAAGTAGCGCTGGGCAAAGGAGCGCACGGAATCGAAGGATTCCAGCTCCAAGCTCCAAACCCCAAACCTCAAAGGAGGTTTCGGGATTAGGGCAGTTTTGGGCTTACTTTTTATGGTGGGTTTAAGATAAGGATTGGAGTCCAGCATCTTGGGCTTGCGAGCAAAGAGTCCGCCAAAGCTTCCGTGACTCTTCAGAGGAGATGCGAGGAACATGGAAAGAGAGAGAGAGAGAGAGAGAGAGAGAGAGACAGAGACAGAGACAGAGACAGAGAAAGAGAGAGAGAGAGAGACAGAGACAGACACAGAGACAGAGAAGCAAGGGGCGAAGGAAGGGGGGGAAGGGGACGGGTCAAGGGGAGGGGGGAGGAGAGGGGAGGGGAGGGGAAAAGAGGGAGCACAGACGGACAAAACCCAAACACCGAAACCCTAAACCCCTAAACACCGACATAGCCAGAGCTCAAAGAAAGGTCTGATCCTGATCTGCCGAGGGACTGGGCTTTGGACTTGCCAACCTTCTTCAGGGCCTGAGGGCTTAGTGGGTTCAGGGCTTATCCGGCATAGGCTTTAGCAGGTTTAGGGATTACGATTGAGGGCTCAAGGTCGGGTTTCGGGCCTATAGTTTTGGGCTTAGTGACTTATTGGATTTAGGGTTTACTGCCGGGGTTAGGGATGAGGGCTTAGCCCTTTGGGAGCTTAGGGTATCGGACCTCGGCGGGCTTTCGGCTAGCCCCCAACTTCGACCCCATCCTCTATATATCCCAGGCCCAAACCCAAAACTAAAACCCGAACTCCCAAACCACTCCAAAACCCAAACCAGCCGAAAAATCTGGTGCTGAATCGTAATCACGTCAGGCTGAGGAGGAGGAGAGGCCGGGGTGCCTGCAACGCGGAAGTCGCTGCCGCGCTGTCCTCGGAGGGGGGCTCGAGCCCGAAGACCCTTCGAGGGCTGCAGGTTTTCTAAAGACCTTTTCTAAGCGCTTTACAAGGCCTTTATGAGGGCTACTGCAAGGGGAGGGTGTATGATCAAAGGGCTTTGGCGTCTCGGGCTTTGGGGTTTCGCGGTTTTGGGGTTCGCGTCCTTGGGATGAGGGTTTATCGAGGACCTCAGAGGGTGGGATGGAAGTAGCTCGCATTAACTATTCAGGATCCGTTCTGTAAGGACTCTGTTCTCGGGGATCATCCCACCTACTTCGTCCCCACCTTTGGAGCCCGTTGAAAGTCTGGGGCTTTTCAGTTTGTTCTGGGGCTGAAGGCTGAGGCGCCTTCAGGTTTAGAGTAGGGTTTCAGGGACATGTAAAGTATAAACTATACACATTGACATAATAATGACTCCTTTAAGGACTAATTTTTGTATTTATTCATAAGAGAAGAGGTTTACGGTTTGGAACCCTACGCAAAACCCGTAAACAACGCACTGCACAACCCCACACCTATAGCCTAACCAAAGCCTTTACCAAAGCCTTCCAAGACCGTCTAAACCATGAACCAACCCTAAACCCTCATCAAACCCTGAACCCCAATTAAACCCCAAATACCCCAAACCCTGATTGAATGAACCCAAACCCTAAGCCCTAACCCTAAACCCTAAACCAAACCCTAAACCCCAAACGCTAATCAGGTACTTAACCCAATGCCCTAAGCCCTAAACCCTGAAACTCCAAACCATAAAACATTCAAACCTCCAAGCCTTTAACCCTAAATCCGAAACCCCGGACCGTAACCCAAAGCCCCAAGCCCTAAGCCCCAAACCCTGCAACCCGAAATCCCTAAACCCTAAACCCTAACCTAAAAAAATACTCCAAACCCTAACCCAAACCCTAACGCCCTGCTGAAGGTCTCGAACCCTAAAATCTGAACCCTAAACCCCCAAGCCCGTCCTCGGAGCGGCAGCCCAGAATGACAGAAGCACCCGACTGGGCCAGGGAAGTGGCGGCCTCTGAGTTCGTGTTTCTAGGGGGGCTCTATGTAATCAAAATATGTATAGAAGTAAGAGTGACTGTACTTGATATGGCAAAAGCAACAAGGACAATAGTAGTAGTAACTATCGTCATCACCATCACCATCGTCATCATCTCAATCATGATACTAATCATGAGATTAATAATCGCAATATTGATAATAACAATACCACTACTCGTAATAATGCGCATAATAATGATCATAAGTAGTAGAAGTTCAATCTATTGGATTTGATCCGGGGCAGGGGTTTAAGAGGGTTTTATGGTTGCGTTGTTATAGGGATTGCTGGAATTGTTAAGGGCTTTGAACGAAGGTTTGCAAGAATCCTAAGCCCTAAGCAACCCAGAAGGGCTGAACGGGTCCGGGTTTAAGGCTCAAGACATCTCAACGTCTTTTTTGGGGGGGTTGTGGGGTCTAGGATGTACATGAGGCTCGACTCCTGTTATTTTCTGTTCGGGGCTTGAGGGCTTAAGTTTGTGGCCCCAGCCCGGAAAGATAGCTCGGGACCGTAAACCTAAAATTCAAAACTCTTACATCCCCATGCTAAAGACGAAGTCCTGCACCCTAAACGCCCCAAGCCCCAAATTCTGAGCCCTAAACCCTAAACGCCCCTAAATCCTCCACCCTGAACCCGAAACTTCAAAGATCCTGAAAAATGTAATATAGGGGCCTTAATAATTAGAGTAGGGTTTTGGGGTTTCTTGTAGTATTCTTATAACAAGGAACTCCCCAAAATAACCATAGGTAAGTAGTAAGGCCCCTTGTAGTACCCCCTTACCCCAGTCCCGCGGCCTGGAGGCCCATACCAGAGCAGCCTCCAGTGACGACCGCCCGCTTGTTCAGCAGGTTCCGGGTCTCCGTGTACATCACCTGGGTCAGGGTTTAGGGTTATGGGCCAGTTTGGGGTTTAGGGGTAGTCATTATGGGCAGGGCTTAGGTTTCATTATGGGCCAGTTTAGGGTGTAGGGTTTAGGGCTTAGGGTTAGTTAGGGTGAGGGTTTGGGGCAGGGCTTCGGATGCTTGGGGTTCCTTTACAGCACGTAATGGAAGATACCACACAGCGCAGACTGGGTCTGCCTTGCTCTGGTACTCAAACACCGATTACAAGAACCGCCGTAGAACCCCTGCACCTCTACAAGATGCTTAAGCAACAGCCTGGTTTCAAAACAACGCTCTCAGACCCAAAAGGCAACTCTATCAAACCCTAAAACACTTTAAAAACACTCAAAAACCGTGTAAAGGCCTGTGGAAACCTGAAACCCCCAAATGCGAACCCGAAAAAGATGTCAAGCCCCGTGGCCGGTCGAAGAGCAAGTTCCCTGAGGGGCAAGAGGATGTAGGTCACCACGATGGGAACCTCAGAGGCAGCAAGGCTTTGGGCTTCGGGTTCAGGGTTTAAGGTTTGGGGTTCAGGGGTTTTTGGGGTTCAGGGTTTAGGGTTTAAGGTTTAGGGTTCAGGGCTTGTAGGTGTCAGGTTTAGGGTTTATGGTTACAGGCTTCAGCCCTAAACGGTCTAAGTGTGATTCGCGCCATCCCACACATGCTCCCGCCACAAGCTGTCTAACGTGGTTCAACCACCCAAACCAACGCGTGTGTCAGTTGAAGCTAGAGGCATACACATTTCTATCTTCATGAAACTGGAGGACGGTAGCCGGAACGATGTGCCGATCTGTGTCTCGTTCAGACTTCCGGAACCGCTCGAACCCCCGAAGTCCCATGACCGCGTGTACATGCTCACCGTCTGTAGCTCTGAAAGGACAGCCAGGGAGCTAGAATCAGAATCTTGCAGACCACACCGCACCACTTCTCACAAGCCTTCTCCAGCTCCTCCTCCTCCTTCTCCTCCTGCTCCTTGCGCTTCCGTTCCTCTTCTAGTTCGGCTTCGGTCTTTGGCGGCTTCTCCTTCTCCTTGTCCTTCTCCTTCCCGGAGGCTGTTTCAGGGTTTAGGGCGCCCTGAACCCCCAAAACCCCACTCCCAACACCACAAACCCTAAATCCCACCAAAGTTCAAAGAAATGCAAGTGCCTTCTCCCTCCCGTTGTATTTCTTCAACCTGTCGAAGCTTCCCATGGCCGCGAAGGGAAGCCCGATCCAGACGGAAAACTACCGCATGCGCGGGCCTGTGTAGGCTACTGGCAAACTGTGCTAGAGATCTAAAGCTGGTAAAGCAATATCCTCTCTCGTAGAGGCATCTTCCACAGAATCCTGCTGTAAGACAACGGTCGTAAAGGCTCTCTCTCAGGCATCTTAGAGTCGTAGGGCATGACACCAGAAACCTCGGCAGCAGAACCGCCTTTGGGCCTAGAGCAGCAGCGCACGAACGGTCAAAGATCCTGTCTCACTGCAGCCGGAAGGGTCCGTCCAACATGTGGCCAGCGTCACCATCATCTTCGCTATCATGACCACCAACATCGTCAGCGTTATCATCACGACCACTCGTCCTCAACAACATATCACAACTATCGTTGCCACAACTGCAATCAACATCCTCATCCTCATCATCATCCTCATCATCATCATCACCAGCAGCAGCAGCCTCATCATCAACACAACACCTTGCCGATGCCCTGCATCTTCATCTTCGTCTGGATCTTCATCATCATTATGACCACCATCGCCGTCGTCGCATCATCATCATCATCATCAACCATCCATGAGAGTGCGAGATCATGTCAGAGTCGGCAATGGCAACAGTCTTGGCAGAATCGTTCACCAATCACTACTGGAAGACAAAAATGGACGACACACAGATCCATCAGGTTTTCGCTCATATTGTAAGAATAGGCGCTAAATCGAAGGCTCCACGTCCCAGCCTGTCACTACTAAACCCTCACACCCCGCAGAAAACCTGACCCTAAACCCCAAACCCTAGTTCCTGGGCACCCGGCCCAGGTTTCTAGGTCGGCGGTGCAATCGAAGGGCTCGGAACCCGTGCTATTGCACCCCTCTGTCTGTGCACAGCACCTGGGATTTCGAAAGGACTTGGGGCAGCGTCCTGTAGGGTTTGCAAGGGTTTGTACTGGCTGCAATGAGGAATTATCTGGAGTCCTAGAGTTAAAAGGAACCCGACCCCAAGGAAGATGACGTTGATTCCAACAACATCGGGCGCACAGGCTCGGGCTTTTATAATTCGATCAAGGGTTCTGCAAGCTGTAATGTAGGGGCCGACATGACTAGACTAGGACTTCGGGGGTGTGCACACGATACTTACGCACATCAAGGAACCGACTGCACGTTGTAAACCCTAAACCCAAATTCCCAAGGTCCTAGACCTCAAACCCGCACCTTCAAATCGGCTGAAGGTTTGGGGGTCTAGGGTTTCGGGTTGGGGATGGTTGAGGATCCTATACCCCAAATGCCGGATTCTTGGGACACTCGGCAGCATCTGTGCTCCCTTTCTTGAGCAGCCAGCACCAAAGCTGGGGGACCGGCCGTGAAACGCAGAGCCTGAAACCCTAAACTAAGCCCTCGACACCAGACTTGTATCTGTCAACCCAAGCTCCTCTGTCAACTGTTCGCCTAAGGTTTCGGCCACTGCGTCTTGGTATTGCTCCAGGCCGTGTCCTGACAGCAAGGACGACTTTCTGTTCGGGTTGGCGGTTTCAGGGCTAAGGGCTTCGGGGTTTTAGGCCCTAAACCCTAAACCCTGAACCCTACCTAGAGTTTCGGGTTTAGGGTGATAGGAGTGCAGTCCGACCTAGGATTCGAGTCCCAGCGGTTAGGGTTTAGGCTCAGGGCTTGGGGAAGAAACCTCTCGCACCACGAAGCCTTGAACCCATGAAGACCTGCAGTGAGCCGCTTAGGGATCAGGGCTTGCGGTTTCGCGAACCCCCGGGAGCAACCAAGCATCCCCCAAACCCCGCCCCCTCCCAAACGCCTGATCTGGGGAAGTTCATGGCTTAGGGTGTAGGGTTTGTTTCCCACAAGAACCCAACCCTCAACCTCGAAGACCCGAGCATGACACCCTAAAGGATACCTTAAATCTCAAACCCTGCAACACTGGACCCCTAATCCTTAGCTGCTGCGCGTCCTTGTTCTCGCAGTCGTAGTGGTGATGATCCTCGCCGACCGGACATCTCTTCTTTCTTGGACAGGTACTTGTGTCTACACCACAGAGTCCCTCCCACCCGTGATTCAAGAACGTGGTCGCAACGAGCCCTGAAACCGAGCCGTCAGTCCATGTCAGGTTTGGCTCAATAAATGACGGACGCAAGGCGGGGTATGCTATAGGATACTTACATAAGAACCACAGGAGGGAGTTTGGAATACATGATAGAATAGGAATTGAAGACTCGGGTCAAGGCATGACGGCTTTCATAGAAACTATGGTTGTTCGGCGGAAGCCTGGTATAGCAGCTTAAGACCTAGGGTTTTTTCAATTTTCTTACGTGCAATGGCCCCTTTTCTCCGCATGAGAGGATCTAGGGCTTAGGATTTACGGTGCAGGGTTGCGGCTTTAGCAGCCTTTGTGTCGCCGTGCAAACCGTAACATGCCAGCCCATGCGATGAGCACCTGCGAGTGGTGATAGTGGCCGGGATGCACGTGGGTCACGTGGGTGATGTCGGTATGCCTGGGAGCTTTCATGAAGCTCTTTCATGTTTTGCATCAGCTGTTGGAGTCCCAATTTCGGGTCGAGGCTACAACTTAGGGATCAGGAATTCGGGTTTAAAGTTAGGACTTGAGGTTCAGGGTTTGGGGTTTAGCATTCAGGGCTTGGGGGTTGGGGTTTGGGGTTCAGGGTTGGCGGTTGAAGGTTTAGGGCTTGAGGTTACAGGTGTAGTCTTTAAGGCTTTCAGCTTCCTTGCGAAAGTCGTGGTTCTGCATGCGCCACATCTGGGCATCGAGCAATTGAGACGCGATAACCCGAAACCTAACACTCGAAACCCCAAACCCCCAAGCCTTCTATACCGTTAGGGTTTAGGGTTTAGGGTTTAGGGTTAGGAACCCAGGAACCCGACCCCACAACCGGAAATCCAAGGCCTGCTCCCTCCAGGCTTGGTCCAAACTGGCTGGGGCCCGCACTCGCCGTGTCCCTGCGCTGAAGATTGAGGGTTTAGGGCCTTTGGGGTGTCTTCGTAATGCGGATATGTGGGGTCCTTTCCAGGGTCCTTGTTTTCCGAACTCGCATGTCCAATCTGAAGAGCTTAAGCTCTTAGCTTAGAGCACGAGGGACGGCGTGGGGCGTCAGAACCTTTTGTTTTCGGATGCGGGCAGGGCAGCCTTCTGGGACTTGCGTCTTCCTTTCCCCATAGGGTTTAGGTTTGTCTTTCTAGGGCTCTAGGGTTTAGGGTTTAGTACGGAAGGCCTTCTGGGTCTTAGGGTTGAAGGAAGCCGATCCCCAGCCTATTCCAGAACCCGTGGCCCTTACTATTACCCCAAAGCACGAAACAAAAACTCTAAACAGCTCACCAGCATCCCCACAACGACAAAGAATCGGCAAATGCCTTGTGTACTTCGGCCATTTTCCGTCTGAGAAAGCGTCGCCAAAGCTCTGAAATCTCAGATTAGCAGGGCTGCGCGTGAGTTTTCGTTATCGACGGCGTTTTTACACCGTCACGAAATTCAGAGCCGAATTCTCGGACATTGTAGTTGAGGAAAGGAATCAGTTCGAACACTGGGGAGGCTTCCAGCGAGGCCCTGGGGTGATTCTTGGAAATACTTGAACCGAGGGATGTGACGAAGCACGCTTGGTTGGGTTTCATGGTTCTGGAACCATGGAACCAGAATTCCGGGGATACTCGGATTGTAGCCTAGGGCCGCCGTAGGGCCGTCGGCCAATTGCTGCACAGCCTGTTGGCAGCTCAGGGACGTTGATAACCTCCTGACGACGACAGGCATCAGAGTTAGTTGGCGTGAGATTCGGATGCTGATTGCCCTAAACCCTAAACCCTAAACCCTAAAGCGCATCTTGTCAGAACCTTCGAAAGGTTGTAGTAGTCTTACAGGACCACAGGAGACTAGGCAGTTCTACAGGCGCCTGCGCCGCCTCCTCCTCCTCCTCCCTCCTCCTCGGAGCCTTGGAGCTGTGCAACCCTTAACCAAGATTCCTCCGAAATGCTGAAGTCTTCGGAACCCTCGAACTGTGACCCCCGGTGCTTTCCGCACAAAACCCAATTGCTTACCGAGTGGTCGATCAGTGGCTTTTGGGGTTTTGGGGTTTCGGTGTGGGAAGTAGGGTTTAAGGTTTGGCGCTAAACCCTAAACCCTGCTGCAGGGGCTCTGCAGAATTCGTGCAAAGCTGTAAGGCTGCAGGCAGAGGTTCTCTGGGATTCCGGAGGCAACTCCCAAAGAGCTGCGGCCCGGGTTTAGGGTTTGAGATGAAGGAGAAGCCAGACCTGCCCAATGCAGTACCTGCATACCTTGCGTTCTCATGTCTCTAGGTCCTGAGTGGTGCTTGATGGGATGGCAGGGTTGCGAGGTATGGGGCCATCACAGTGGCAATAACGATCAAGAGTGGTACATCTCCGCACCAATGCATGCCACTACAGAAAAGCCTCAAACGCCTGAAGCGAAACGAGGAGAACCCCAAGAGACCCTCGCCCAGGAATCCGAAAGCCCGTTTACACCCGCAAGACCCTTAAGCCTAACTAAACCCTACAACCCTAAACCCAATAGCACCCTTAAAAGAACCCTAACCCTATGCACCCTTGAAAGAACTCTATAGTACCCCTTGAAGGAACCCCAAACAAATACCCACAGCCCCCATCCCGGAAGTCCTTCTAGAAAGGGCAGCGGCTTGTAAAACTGGGCTGCCATTTGCGCCTCCCATGTCGGCTTCAGGTTTAGGGGTTTCGGGTTTAAGGTTTAAGGCTCGGCGTATGATCTGAGTCAAATGACGTTTAGTGTTCCATGGCAGTTATCTTGGAATTCTTGGTAGGAAGGTATACCTGGTTTCTGCTCCTTGCCGTTGCCGACTGCCTCGGGCAAGGCCTTGAGGAGTTTCGGTGTCCAGAGTGTAACTGTAAACCCTAAACCCCCAAGAAAGAAATAAACAGAAATCGCTTGTTGCTGTTGGCCAATCCTATCAGTTCAGCCCACCTCAGCGCAATCAGCGCAGCCCAGGTTAGAGAAGGGTTCGTGCGAACAGAAGGAGCAGGATGGGGGGACGGGCCGCGAAGTGAGGCGGGTCTCAGATTGGAGAAATCAAATGCTCGGGCATCCAGAAAACGGTGTTGGGTTGGTTTTCCTTTTCTATAAGCCAACTTCCGTTTCAGAATAAAGTCGACCTGAACCCACCGCCAGCCAGCCAGGGCCCGGCCCCCATCGCCAGCCCCGGCCCTCGCAGATTCAAAAATCAGGTCCGAAAAGAAAACACTCTGTCAAAACCTTTCGGTCAAAACTAGCGCTCCCAAACCCTCAACAAATTCCACATACCCTAACCCTATGTAGAGTGTCCTGTGTCGAGTTGAAGTGCCGGCCTGCAATGCTCTCTGGATTTTCAGCTTGTCCAGCCGATCCACGACACCGCGGTTAGCAGCGTCAGCGTCATCGCCTGGATTCGGGAAGTCTTGAGCACTCACACACCCACACACGCACACACACACACACACACTCTCTCTCCCGCTCTCTCGCTCGCCCTCTCTCTGGGAGTTGAGGGTTTGAGGGCTTGCTGCTTAGAGTTTAGCTCTTGTAGAGTCTTGCGACCTTGGAGTTTAGGGTTGATGGCCCAGCTCCGTTCGGGGTCCGGGTTTAGGGATTAGGGTGTAGAAAAGGGTTCCTTAAACCCTGAACTCTAAACCCCTAAACCCCTAAACCCCTAAACCCCAAACCGTTAGGGCTTACGGCTCAACTCTCCGGCAGCTTGGCACTGGGAGGCTTGTGGCTTGCGGTGAGCGGGGAGATCAGGCGGAATCTGAGAGTTTGGAGGTTTAAGGTTTAAGGCATTGGGTTTCGGTGTCAGGGCTTGAGGATTGGAGCTTAGGGTTTAGAGCTTTGGGCTTAGAGTTTGGGGAGGGCTTAGGGTTGAAGGTTGAGGGTCTACGAGTTAAGGCTTAGGACTCCATGGTTCAAGGCATCCTTCAGCGTCAATGCTTCCAAGCAGTGTACGAGTCTGTACGAGCTTCAACTATCAACCCTGCTCTTCCAGAGAGTTTTGGCAGGAAGCCAACAAACACTGGAAGTCGATCAACATGAAGAAAAACCGAAACAAAGCCCAAGGCCCCCGATTGCCAAACCCCAAATGCCAAACGCTGAACCTCAAACCCACGAACACTAAACCCCAAACCCTATCACCTGTCTAGACCGAGGCCCACGCACCCCATCCGCAAGCAAGAGAGCTCAAACTGCCGCTGGTTGGAAGGTCACTCCTTAGCTAGGGAAGAGGTATGAATTAAATGTTTGTTATTGCTAATAGCACTACTAGTAAGACTACTCTTCGTGGTGTTAATTATCTTTCTTAGCATTTTGAATTGCTCCCACAAGGATTAGGATGTAAGGCTCATGGCCAAAACGTTTTAGTCTAAGGCTAAGGTTTAGAATGTACTGCTTGGGATCAAAGCCTCAAGCCGCAAGCACGCCACTCCTCGCCTCATGGAGAAGGCACAGTGCACGGGTTTTGGGTTGAGGGTGCGATTGGCGGCTTGCGTGAAGAGGATGACTTTACTTGGAGGCTCATGGGACTTGGTGACTTAGTGCGTAGGCTTGTAAGTGGCTTAGTTGGAGCTACAATTAAACCCTAAACCCAAAGTCCGGAGCACGCAATCAAGATCTCAGCCTAAGGTCAGACTCCTTCTTAACCCTGAGCCGCATCCCGAAATTTCTGGGCTTTCGGGTTTAGGCAATTTAGGGCTTCCCCAAACCCCCGTTCACAAGACAACGCAAGGCTCGAAAGCCCTAAACCGCTGCATGTTGCAACAGGCTTCTCTGTACTTGTACTTGCCGTCGTTGTCGTGGTGGTGGTCCGATTGGGGTCGCACGCGACTTCAATCCCTGCCTGCGAGGCACGACTGAGAACCCAATATCCTACTGTAAACTAAACCGTTTAAGCCCTGAACCACCAGGGTTTAAGGTTTCGGGTCTTAACGGTACAAACCGAAAAATCAAAATCTTCAGAAGACAACCTGTTCTGGGTGGTCGTGCAATAAAACAGGGTTTGGGGGGCGGGTACATTACAGCATAATTCTAATGGGAATTATTGCTACATGTTCCGACGCCTACAGTACTTGACTTGGTATGTCCGAACACTTATTAGTTGGTACTATTTTGTTTGTCTGGTTCTCGGGTTCTGGAAATAGCTGTTCTCTGATAATCATACGGATCTTCACGATTGTTGCGATCCCTATTAGATGATTTGCGTCTCGTCGTTGCTGTTCTAACTGTCGGTGCTACTAGTCTTGCAGTTGCAATTATCATTGCTGGTGAAATTGCTCTTCATAAACATTCCACACTATGATGATGACGACGGTTTGTCTTAGTACGAGTGCTCCTCCTCCTCCTCCTCCTCCTACTACTACTACTACTACTACGACTACTCCTCGCCACCCCTACCAACTACACTTGCTCCATCCGAGCTGGGCAGTGGCAGCTTCTAGGCTCCCTAACTGCGACAGCTGCAGAAGATGCAGGGGCTTAGGCTCCCTGTCTGTGACAGCTGCAGAAATTGCAGAGTCTCGCTTTCCTTAGCTGTCCCAGCCGGTGAAGAAGGACAGGCCCCAAAACTGCAACAACAGTTGGAGTTGCAAACTCAAAGACGAACAAACTGCTAAACCACATGTGGTCGTGCCGCCAAAAAGGATGTAACACTCCTAAAACCTGGCGCGGAACGTCTTGTAAACGTCCGAAACCAAGATGCCAATGACATAAAGCCAAAGCTTCGAAGCAAGTGAGGCCCTTGTGAAGGCTCCACTAAATCTGGAGTACATCACGTGTGGATATAGCAGACAAAAATAGCTGTACGAACGAACACTAGAGGAACACGCGCTGCGCCACAGCGTGACAGTGCTCAAGAATGCCAAAGGATGCCCAGAGTTAGCAGTTTGCAATCAGCGTCCACCCCTTCCCCGGCGAAGCTGTTGCCAAAGGCCCTCCTTTGTCAACCCGAGCACACCACGGCAGGCCCACGCCAAGGACTGTCTATCAGCCCCCTTGACACCACCGCGGCGCCCGGGTGACCACACCAGGAGGCCAACAATTATGTGTCCAGCTCGGCGCGCGCACGGAAGGAGCGCACGACGACACTCAGTTCTTGGAGGAGCAAATCGTACAGGGTGCCGGGCTCCGCCCCACTGCGGGCAGCAACGGCCCCCGCAATCTGCTTGAGGACGCGGCTGGCGCCAGCTTCCAAATGCCCGGTCGTTTTGCCCAGGTAAAAACAGTATCACGAATGGCATGGTGCCTCAGAGTGCGCTCGCCCCCTGCCACACAGCTGGCGGCATGATGACTGAAACGGTCTAAAACGGCATCACATTTAGGACACCAAGTCTCTTCGGCTGCATCCGGCAGCCCGAGACGGAAGCGAAGCTCTGCCACGAAGCTTGCCGACTCCACGCGTGTGCATCCAGAAGGCAAAGGAGGCAGGAAAGCTCTAGCCCCCAAGCCAGCTTCGGGATGGAGGACAGCTCGCTCCGACGCTGTGGCCTGTGCCAGCTGGGTGTCCCACACTGCCTGGTCCAGAAGCTGTGAAAGTTGACGCTGCTTCAGGTCAACCGCGGCGGCAACAGCGAGTCGCTGAGCCTGACGCAGTTGGGTATTTAAGGCCTCCAAGCCACCGACACCTCGGGCGAGACCAGCACTTCTGCAGCCCGCAGCATTGAACTGGGGTTCCAGCTCACGGCACCCTGCCAAGCTGGCACAAGAGATGACAGGTAGGCCGCCGGGGCATGGCGAGTAGAGGACCGGAGCCCTAAACCGGCATGTGCGAACCCACCAGAAGCCTGAGACCACTGCTGCTCCGTCAGATGAAGCCCAGTCATGCCTCCAAAGCAGCCCCTGACCAAGCCATCAAAAGCTGCAAACGCCGCTGCCTGAGCAACCGGCGGGGCACATCGCATGCTGTGAACCATGCGGCAATATCCTGCGCATGCGCGTAGAAGGCGCACACCCACCTGAGGGTCTTCCATCTCAGCCATTCAAGGCGTCCAGAAGGGCTGCGGCCTTGCCGACTCTGGCCTTGGTGTGGGCGTCGACAAAAGGCTCCGTGGCAACCGGCGCTCCAAGGAACTCGAACTGCCGCAAGACTCTGCTGGAGCCATCCGCCTTCCTGAGTAGAGCAGAAGGGAAATGCATCAGGAGAGAAGCGTCTGTCACGGAGCCCAAAGCCACCACTTCGCACTTGGAGAGGTTGAGAGTAAGCCCGACAGCGGAGGCCTTGCGTTGCACAAGGGCGAGAGCGGTGCTGACCGCACGCAGCGAGCCGGCAACGACACCATCATCCAAATATTGCAAAGCCAAATCGCTGTCCCCGGCTCGAAGCTCCATTGCCAAGGGATGTATGGCTGCCGAAAAAAGCAATGGCGCCAGAGGATCTCCCTGGTGGACGCTGGAGCGAGAAAGCACAGCTCGATCACCAAACTGCAGCCGCGAGGGTGCCCGATAGCACCAAGTAGCCCAACGAGCGAGCGTAGGGAAGTGGGTGCGAAGCGTAGGGAAGTGGGCGCGAAATAGGGACAAGACAACCTCCCTGCTAATACAATTAAAAGCAGCACTGCTAAAATCAAGCTTAAGGAGCACTTTGTCAGAGGCTGCGGAGTGGCGTTGCATCCAAGCGCGCACGCAGTGGACCGCCTTCTCAGCAGCGCCTGGCACCGCCACACCAACCTGAGCAGCCAGAAGTACGCCCGAGCGTCCGCTCGAACAACGGCCATCAGGCATTTGTCTGTCAATCTCCTCAGAATTTCACCGACTGCGATTGGTCGTACGCCACCAGCGGGCTTGGGCAAAGCAACTGAGCCCGCACCAGCCAGAACGGGCGCAACTTCATCAGGCCTTGGGCGAGAAGGTTGACGACCGCTGCCAGCTGGGCCACCACAAGGTCAGCACTCCCAGCCACACATGCTTCTCGCAAGTGCTGCACGCGAAGGCCTGTTGGGCCAGGGGCCATGTCTGGCGGGAACTCTCTGAGGCAGCGAGCCACCAACTCATCGGCCAATTCCGGGGCCAGGGGCAGCTCCTGCATGCTGGGCGCAGCGGGCGGGGACGCAGCCGGATGCAGGGAGTCCAGTGCACACGCAGTCTCCTGCGATTGTGGGAGAAGTTCCTCAAAAAGCAGTGCCGCGCAAGCCTTCCTGTCGAAGCCTCGTGCCCAAGAGCCGTAGCCGATTCACGTTTCTCCGCAGCAGACGGTGCCCCCGAGCGACGAGCACGTGGCACAGGACGCGAGTCCCACAACTGAGCACGATCACCTTGCTGCCAGCGGTGCAGGCGATCCAACGTGAAGGCCGCCGCCGCCTTGAGGTGTTTGCGTCCGCGGCGAGGCGGAGGGCAGAGCACAGCTTGTGGAAGCATGAGGAGCTCAACCCAAGATCGAAGATCATTGCGGTGTGCTTCTGCTGCCAAAGCGCGGGTAAGGGCCTGACACCAGCTGTGGCGAGCAGCAGCCGGTACATGGCGCAGTGTAGGCATTCGGGCCGACTGGACCTCGACCAAGCCGGGCAGCTGCTCACCGCACCCTTCGGCGTGGTGTGACGAAGCTGCCGGAACCTCCGCAGCAGCGGCCCTAAACTGGGGGCGGCAAGTGGGATGGACGCCTCGCTGCTCAGAGAGGCACAAGCCACACACCAAGCAGCGGGTTTTGCCACGTTCACGAAGCCAACGCTCAGGAACCTCCCCTTCCAGCGACCCGCTCAGATGCGCATTAATGTGATTCTGCAGCATGGTAGCCTCGCTGACCCAGCCACGTGCCTTGCGGTGGTCAGAGCAGGGGCACGAAGGCACAGGGCAGAACACGCGAGCTCCAGCATCCACGTCCAGGCCAGGCTGCATTGAGCAGGCGCAGGACGTTCCCCTCCGAGGGGTGTGCCAGGAGCCACCGGTCCAGGGTTGTCTGCCTCGCCAGACGGACGCCACAGTCGGGACGTCCAGACCAACGCGGACCCCGCGTGCCAGATCTCGTCCAGCAGACCACCTTGCGTCGAAAGAGCTGTCGATGTCGCCTGCGCTTCAAGGACGGGCGAGGGGCTGGCCCGAAGCCAGCCAGGGGGCTCCAAAGTGGCACCTCACTCGCCGGGGACCAGGCCAAATTGAGGACATAGGTTAGATGACGGCGCTGCCAGCGATGCAAGGAGCGAGGAAGGGCAACAGGCACATCAACAGAGTCGTGCCCGACGGAGGCCCACCTGCCTGCGGACGAGCAGGAAACTCATGCCATTGCAAAAGGCATAACACTAAACAAAGATGCCAGCTGTACGTGCGAGGAGCTCGCCAACACCCCTAAAGCCCAGACGTCGGCGTAGGAGGGCTTGCTTTTGAAGTACTGCGTGGTGCGTGTGCGCTAGGGTGTGGAGATATTTTTCGGGGTGTCCGCGAAACAGTGTCGTGATCATCCCGGAAACAAGCTTCTCCCAAACCAATTTCGAGTTTTCACCGAAGCCCCCGAAATTCCAAGGTCGAGTTCGCAAAGTCCAGAAGTAGGTTTAATGACTATATAAGAGGGTCCGACATCACGAAAGTACTGTAAATACCGAGTAAAACGGCTGTTCTGGAGATATTGTTCGGGGTGTCTGTGTAACAATGTCGTCATCATCCGCCCCCAACCCCCAACCCCAATCCGAAGCCCAATTTTCAAAATCCAGGAGTGGATTTTGAGGCAAGAAGAAGTGGTATGACACGAGCAACGCACCGTAAATACCGAGTAAAACAGATGTGCTCTTAAGAGTGCTTGGAGCAGAGGTAGTTGGTAGGGGGTGCTTAATACTACTACTACTACTACTACTACTACCACCACTACCACTACCACTACCACTACTACTACTACTACTACTACCACCACTACCACCACTACTACGACTACTACTACGACTACTTCGACTACTACTACGACGACGACTACTACTACTACACTGATGGTCTAGCATGACTCTTCTGAATGATATTGATACTACTATCTTTGAGATGAGTCTATTTGCTAATATGCTATCTTTCTTTACGGCCTTTCTTGAAACACTGTTTTTATGTGCGTTTACTGATACAACCGCTGCTGTCACTGTTAAAGTATTGCTTATCCTTGTGTTGATTGTCACGTTGTGCAACTTTCGAATACTACGCACCAAACTTGAAAACTTCTGAACTCTGAACCAAAACATCCCAAACCTTAAACCCTAAACACTTATAGAATCTTGAAAGGAGCCTTAGCAGAACCGTTCACAGGAACCCTAAACCCGAAACCCGACATGTAGAACCCAACAATATAGAACCCATTTAAAGGGACCCGTTCAAGGAACCCTAACCCTGAACCATACCAGCTCATTCGGAGGTCCTCCGTGTCGGGCACTGGCAGTCCTGCCTTCTGGGCCTCTTGTTGCTTCCGGGGTTATGGGTTTCGGGCTTTAGGCTTCTTAAGAGCTTAGGGCGGGTTTTAGCCTTTTGGGGTTCAAGGTTTAAGGTGTGGGGCGGAAAGAAGAAGACCCTGTGGGGCGCCAGCCCCCAGGCATAGGGGGAAGGGCTGTCGGCGGTGAGTGTGGAGTAGTCCGACAAGAGGGAATGTCATGGTGTACCCGTTTAGTTTTGGGCGTGCCGGTGGTGAGGGCTGAGCTTGACAGTCTAGGCATCTTCAGATTGCGGCCGCCCCAGGTTCAGGTTTTGGCATTGGCATAGGAAATCTTTCAGCCTGAACTTCGAACCTGGTTGGACTGTAGCCATCATGTAGATTCAGGGCATAGCCCTGAAGCTTTGGGGCGCAGAATGGTTTACCGTGTCAGGGTTTGGGGTTTGGGTTTTAGGTTTCAACGCTCTAGGGCTCTAAGACTTCGGGTTTTAGGGCGTTGGATCCGTGATGCAAGGACGAGTGGCTTGGCAGTATACATGCGTCTTCTTCACATCAAACCAAAACTTGCCATGTCTCGACTATTGGGGCCTGAATCATGCGACTAGAAGACCGTACTAGAATGATCAGGGGCTCGAAACATAAAGACTAAGAGTAATAACGTGACTGCGGCCACGAGCTTGCATGTGCTAGCTGTGCATTCATCTGTCTGCAATGACTGGCCTTTGTTGGGAAACCCTAAACCATAAACCTTGACCCTGCGCATTAAATGGTGCTTTGTCGAGGGGTTGAGGACTTCTGAACCCGACACTCCGTTTAGGGTTTAGGGTTTAGGGGTTTTCGGTGGTTCCACAGGGGATGCTAACGGTTCCTGGGTCCATTTAAAGGCTTCAAGGATTAACCTTCTGAGGTTTTAACATCGGAGTCGGAACAGTATTGATAAGAGTCTTTCCCCTTATTTGCATTCCGTCCTATTGTAGTTAAGCTCTTCCGAAGGCTCCAGATACTTCAATGGTAGGTTACTAACCACATAAGATGTAGACGGATAACCCCAATTTGGGTAACTGGAGCACTGAGGGCTATGAGATACCGCGAAACCTGGATCTTTGCTTGTTGACGATCGATAGATGTGAAAACGGGAGTGGTTGTTTAGGTTTTAGGGTTCACGTGGTTCAAGGGACTAGAGAATCTGAGATAAGAGCAGCAGACCGATCGAAAGGGACTAGAGAATCTGAGAAAAAAGCAGCAGACCGCTCGAAAGCGACTAGAGAATCTGAGA